GGTCGGTCGTGTTTCCTCGCCACGCTGTAACACGTTTTCCACGAAAGAGACTTGGGACGGGGCGTGCGGCGCTCGCTCGCGACTAGAAAGAGAAAGAAAGAGAGAGAGAGAGAGAGAGAGAGAGACAGAACCTGTCTTGTTGTGAGTGTCTCCTCCCCTCTGCCACCACGTCGCCCTTCTCTCTCTCTCTCTCTCTCTCTCGCACTCCCTGCGTCGTGAATCGTACTGCGTATCACGCTCTCCGTCTGTCTGTCTGGCTGACCGTCCGGTCTCCCTCCCCTCGTCCTTCTATCTCTGTTCTGCGCGTGTGAGTGTGAGCGAGTTAGTGTCGGTGTTTATTCTCGCACGCGTATGAGAGCACGCGCACGCGCGCGCGCGCGCACTCGTGTGTATACACGTCACCGTCGTGGACCACGCAGTAAATTGTGTTATTCGGAGAGACAAACAGGTGCAGAAGGAGGGTTCCGTAGGTCCGTGCTCCGCGCTCGCTCGCTCGCTCGCAAAACGGCCGCACCTCGTGGCATACGCGCTGTGTGACGGCGCTCCGCGCTCATCGTGTGGCTCACGGCAGTCCGGCCGACGTCTACCCGCCGTCCTTCCCCCCGATCGCGGACGCGCGTCACGAATTACTTCCTCGCGCGAGGAATGCGCGAGCGGCGGTGGCATGGCACGTCCGAGCCACCGTTGAGGAGTCTCGGCGCGCCCGAGACGCGGCCTGTAGCCGCCTGAGATCGGTGGCGGGCGAAATTAGACGAAACCGCGTGACAGGTGGATTCGAGGTGTGCCGAAACGTGGAGAGAAAGAGAGAAGGCGAGAGAGAGAGACGGTGGACGGTGTGTGAAGGAGGGAGCGTAGCGAGAGTGAGAGAGTGGCCGTCGCAACATCTCGGAGTTCGCGGGATCTTCCCTACTTGGTTCCCGACGCCGCAAAACGTGGGGGGGTGAGAGAGGATCGAGGGGGTGATTGTGGAGATTGTGATCGGTTCGTTGCCGCAGTCATCATCGTCGTCGTCGTCGTCATCGTCTCGTGGCTGGCCATGGCTCGCCATTGTTATTGTTGTCGTTCCTCCTAACCTACGAGAAGGTAGACGTCCGCGACTGCCATCGTGAGAGGAAGAGAGAGAGAGAGAGGGACGCGACGCGACACGACACGACGCAGCAGCAGCAGCAGCAGCAGCAGTAGCAGCGCACGCCCTCGGATCTCGGCGAACGCTGCGACGAGCGCATCGCACATGCAACCCGGCTGGCGGTGCTGTTGCACGCATCGCCGTGTATATTTACGTCCCGAAACGTGCTCGGTGCGAAGGCGCGCGCGCTCGCGAGAGCCGCTCCCGATATCGTTTCCGTCGTGACTATCAATGTGCGGCGGACCTGAGTGCGCGATAACAGCGAGTTGACAAGCGAGCACGTTTTTCCTCGACAACGGAGGGAAGCATCGTGGCGCTGGAAGACGCAGTTCGCTGACACGTTGACGGCCGTTGTTGTTATGCCCGCGAAAGTGCTCACGCGGATCACGCTCCACCAAGGCGATTGAGCGGCGAGACGTTAATCGTGTTGGAGGAGCGACTGAGACGGAGAGATCTATCTATTATTTATTAAGAGATTGATCGATCGATCGATTGTACTTTTATCTTCGGTCTAGGGACTACGTCCTCTAAGAACGTTCGAGGTAAACAAAAGTAATACAGGAAAGTAACAAATTTTTTAACATTCAGGAGAAGCGAGAATCGACAAGGAAAGTATAGTGAAACGCAAAAATAATACGAAGATACACAAAAGATTAAAGAGAATTAAGTACAGGAAATTGGAAAAGAAATCGCAGTATAAAACGCAGAATATAACAGATATAAGTAAGACGAAAGAGAGAGAGAGAGAGAGAGAGAGAGAGAGAGAGAGAAGAGGATATTTGACGCGAGTGTGGAAATTGTCGTCGTTTCTCGAGCACAATGAAATGAACTTTTGCGCCGTTGTGCGTCACGCGGTCTTTCGGTGAGGACGAGGCGCACCGCGCGCACGTGTAACGACGTGCTCTCGGCGCGTTCCGTAAAACGCGCCGCGCACGCCGCGGAGGACTCGCATGCTCGAGGAGAAAGGAACAGGCAGCGGGAAGTGGGAAGCGAGCGGGGACGATAATAGCCGGGATATCATGTGAATGATACGTAGAACGCGAAGGGCCGAAACGCTTGTACCCGCGTACTCGAGGGATTCGTTGGCAATCACTAATCGTGCGGCAACGACGAAGAAGACGACGAAGACGACGACGACGACGACGACGACGACGACGATCTTCTCGATCGTCATCCCGACGATGTCCTCGGGCAGGGGCCCGGCGTCGCCCTCGGGCGGGCCCGTGATCCGCTCCGGCCATCTGAAGAAGCTCAAGACGATGAAGAAGAAGTACTTCGTGCTGCGCGGCGAGGGACCAGGTTGCCTCGCCTGCCTCGAGTATTACGACAGCAAGAAGAAATTCGAGAACAGGCAGCCGCCGAAGCGCAGCATACTGCTGCACAGCTGCTTCAACATCAATAAGCGCGGCGACACCAAGCATAAGCACGTGATCGCGCTCTACACCAAGGACGAGTGCTTCTGCCTGATCCTCGACAGCGAGAAGGAGCTGGACGAGTGGCTCAAGGCGATGCTCAGGCTACAGAGCGGGGACGTGCCCGATGGGGAGCAGCCGCGGCCTACATTCGGTAAATAAGTAAATTGCGCCGCTTTTCCATTTCCCGCCCGAACTCCCGTTCGGGAGAAACCGATAAGCAATCTTTATTGCTCCTTTGCTACTCCTTTATTACTCCGAATCGGTATATACGTATAATCGCCCTATCAAAAATTAGCCGTCGTCTAGAAACGGATATCGATATATTGACGTTTAAATTCCCGCTTGTTGTTTATTTGTCTAATAATGACATTTGCGTTCTTTAGATAGCAATCTACGTACGGCCTTGATACACATTTCTGTTACGTCTTGGAAAATGTGAGTCTTCTCGTTTTCTGCGGATGGTAATCGATTTTTTCTTCCCATGATGAGATTATCGCGCACCTACATTGACTGACGTAGGGACCTGCAACAGAACTTGGTCGCGCGTGTACGCGTTTGTTTACATCTACATTCATAGAATGAATCGATGATTTTCGGAATGCATTGTCTCTCCGCGAATTTTATGTTTCATTCTTTTTTTTTTATTATTTTTTTATTTTTAAGAACGCAAGAGTTTTTTCGTAATTTAAAGAAAAATCGCCTACTTTGTCCATATCAAATGTTAACTGTATACATATTCCTGAGAAATTTGTGCGAGACTATAAAAAGTGCATTGTTACTATCTGTGTATTTCCACATTTCGAACGAGTTATGTAGCCTTGGAATAAAAATAACGTTGGCAATTGTTTGTGTTTTTGTGTTCCTTGCAGGAACAAAGAAAACACAAGTAACGTCGGATAAATAAAACCCCTTTGTTTTAAATTATGTATTACTCCTTTGCTTCCTCTGCACAGAATCTTTGTTTTAATATAAAAAAAAAAATTCCGTGTTTGTCTTGATTATTAGTCTTGACAATTCTCTTGATATATATAAACTTAAATTATTTTGTATGAGTCAGTATTTATAATATGTATTTTCGAGCATTATTCACTATGACGCATTTGAACTACAAGTATATTTAATGCAAACGTACATGATAATGAACATTTGTTTCCGTTGTTATAAATAAATGTTTATTACTAATATTACTAACATTACTATGATAATTTGCAGTAAATGAATTGTAACAGATATTCTAAGTTTTCCATGTGTATTATTTTGAATTCTATATTTAGATATAATTGACTATAAAAAATTACTGACTTAAAATATTTGTTGCTCCTTCATTTACAAAGTGCATGTATACAATGCACTTATCTATTGAAATTAAATATAGTTTATTACATAATGAAGTATTACATTCATAAGTTATTTTCGTATTTCAAATATGAGATTAGTATATTATATTACATTTTTTTCATGTTTTTCAGAACACGTGTGGCAAGTTACAATGCAAAAAAGAGGTCTAGGTGCACGAAAGAACATTCACGGACCCTACAGATTATGCCTCACCGATCAAACTTTAAGTTTAGTGAAGATTGGGGCACAGGATAACTCTGATTCTATCGAGATTTCTGTAAGTTTACGTGAAATATAGTTAGCGTAGTGTAGTTATAAACTAGTACTTATAGCTATAATCTTCTATTTTTTTTATACGAGCTTTGCTATTTAACAAAAGAACGCCGTAATCTAGTGTGTGCGTTTTTGTTCATGGTGGTCCGAGATGTATTTGGACGGATCAGTTTTCACCATGAATAATGAAGTGGATGAAAGATTTTGTTTAGACTAAGCAACGCCACACGGCGAAAGCATTTGAACACGGTGATATTTCAACGCCTTAATATGTTATTGCCTGTTTGGAAGGCTTACCGTGAAGCTTCGCAAATTAAGCGCCTTAATAATGCGCATTATTATTAAAAAATATATCTTAGAATTTTGTTATCGTTAGTTGAAGGTCAACAAAACCTGACATTTAGTATATTAGAATCAATATACAATCTCTAAATTTTGTTTCTCTTGCAGCTAAATTATATTAGACGATGTGGATTTGCGAATGATATATTCTACATAGAGGTTGGCCGATCCGCCGTAACCGGAGATGGCGAATTTTGGATGGCAGTCGAAGATAACAATATCGCGCTCAATATGTACGATGTAATAACGACTGCGATGAGGAATTCGAAAAGTAACAAAGACGAAGTTGGGCCTCGCCAGAGAACGCGTAGTTCCTCCGCCAACGAAGCCAGTAAACCTATATCCGTTCTTCAAAGACGGCATACGGGTCAAAAGCTTCATGGCTTTTCGCCCCTGGGTAAGCTGCAATTTTCGCAAATTTGTTCCTTGTACATATCGTTTATCCATTGTGATTTACACCAGGATATGAGTTATCAGTTTTTTTCAGCGTGTTTCGTATTACTTATCAAAATGTGATTTTCGTTTCGCATATGTAACTTGGGACGTATCGGTTATCACGTGTCTATAATCAGAAGTCGACAGAGATACTGTCTCGGTGCTTCGATATACGTCATTTGTGTATTTAAAATCATCCTTTTTACAAATTCCTTTTAAATCCGGACTTGAAACTTCGTCTAATACACTGTTCCTTTACACATAATTATCGCCAATTGCACACGCACATTAAATAAATTGTATACTTTAAGAAAATCAGGTGAATCGTCGTATGTGTACACATTAGTGCTCAGCTTTAGAATAACACAAATGGGTTTACGGGGTTTACAGAGGAACAGAAGATATACAAGGAGCAAGTGGAACCACTGCAAGAGCAGACTGCTACTTCCTCTGTTCTCACACAGTGTAGTCAATCTCGGAATATCTCCTCCACCAATACAGTCACGGGTCTGTTCTCTGTCACAATAGCTATTTGCTTTCCTTCTTTCGCGTTTCATGGATTTTGAATGGCAAAAAAGACACATAAAAACAGTTAATATATTTATTTTTCTTCAGTTCTTCATTTCATGGGATATAGGACTTTATCCAAAAACTTGATCATTGCATTTTTCTTTTACTGTATTTGATACATTCAATACATATTGCAACATATACTATTTACATATACGCAATTGATATGACTTTTATTTTCAATTTTTTAGAAAAAATAAGTTAAAAAAAAATTGTGCTATCATATATTCTCATTTCATCTGTAAATATCATTTATTATTATATTATACACACACACACACACATATATAGCTTGTTTATTTGTAATACATTATCCTTTGGAAAGGATAATAAATGTTTAATAAAATGGGAAATATTTTCTTAATATTAAAAGTAACGTCAGAACTTATTATGTTGATATTAAATAAATTTTTGGAAATATGTAGATTGAAAAGCTAAAGCTGAAACTTTTACGAATGCAATGATCAATTGTGTTAAAAATAAAAGTTTGGGTCAATCAGTAATGCATCGTTTTCTGAGTGTTAGTTTCATAGTGTAAATAGCATGATTGATACAATCGGCACAAGTTATCTGGAATCTGTAAATTGTCTGATGTCAGGTATCATACATATGTATATAATGCATCTTGCTAAAATGATGACGAAAGACAGGAAACTGAATTGATACGCTTTATTGTCATTTGTAATGTTATTGGTGTTTTATCATAATTCTCTTTTCACACATAAAAGTTATCGTAAGAGAAATCAAACTTAAGAGAACAGTTACTAGTTGAAAAGGATTATTAAAATAGGTTTTGTGTGTCACACTTGTCAATAACTCATCGCGAAACATAAGAGATAGATTCTCTGCGGTCATGTCTTTAACAGCACGATTGGTACACTACCCGTGCCGTATCTGTCATATCCGGCACAAGATGCACGTAAGACAAAAGACAGTTGTGCGATAGTGAGAGGTGTGTGGTTTGCAGCCGTTGCTGGTACCGGGGCTTGGACTACTGGGATTGCCACGACTAATGCCAACAGTGCCGGTACCGCTAGACGTCGTCATTCGGTAGCGAGTCATCCTCATTCCGTCAATAATTCCCAATCCGTTCACAATGTCACAACAGCAACAAATGCAACTATGACTACCACTACTGTCACTACCACTACCATCACTGCAACCACCACTACCATCACCACCACCATTACTGCGACCGTCACCGCGACGATCACTACAACCACAACCGCGACAATATCCCATCAGAGAACCTTGTCGCTGCCCTTAGCTGCCGTTATTATCAATCAAACGCAACCATCTAAAAGATCCGTTTTACGGTGTATGTATTTCGTTTCGTCACACATATTTGTTTAATCGATCCGAATCTCTGTTTTATCCTTTAGTGTTTCTGCAATACGCTTGTTCTGCTCTTTTTGTTACACATTCATTCCTTCCAAACTGTATAAAACCAATCAATGTTATGTTTATCTAATAAGAGATCATAGTAATTACAATTGTAAAGTTTTGCTAGCATGTTATTATTAAGTGCACGATGTATTATGAAACAAATGCTTCAGTTCATATCTTCTATTCATTTGTTATTGAACATAAGGAATGAATATGGTTTGTACATTTCTCCTGGACGCTCCATAGTGTTGATACTTGGATAATCATTTCTGCAAGCTGGTTATCATAATCCTTACTTTGCTATATTTAATTTTTAATCCGAATTCTGCAAATGCGCAGAATATTTTTGATGAAGTGACCGTGATTACTGTTGCTTAACTTAAGAAAAACAAAAAAAAAATATATATATATATATACATATAACAATCAAAAATATATTGTATATATATATAATAATTTATATATGCGAACATATAAAACTAATCGCTGTTGCTATGCTGGGACAATGGAACTGGCTTCTTTCTACTGTATGCAAGTAAACATCACGAGGAGATTTCTGACGAATATCTTTGCAGGTGCTACCGGACGCGATCGATGCGACAGTTTGCCGTCGAGAGCTCGTACTACCAGTGAGGGACAACCGACTACGGTTGTGTTAAGCCATCCTAGAGGAGCCCATATTATGTCGCACGTACCGCGACCGCATTCCATGTGTGGCCGAGGCCTCTCATATTCTCCACCAATCGCGTCAATGCCTATTAGTCCATCTTCCGACGTCTGTTCGTCGGATTCGGCCGGATCGTCACCTTCGATGGATGATTGTGGTGAGAATATTTTGGAAGAAAGCACTGTCTCGAGGTACGGGCATTCCTTGACACCTGACGAGCCTGTAATCTTAGACAAGAAAGGTGACGACTATGCCCTGTGGTCAACGTCGCATCCACATTTGAAATACTCGCCAAACTTTAAATCTCATTCGCCCTCTCAGGTGGGTGTACTCGTAATATTACTTCTGAATTTTTTAACATATTATTAATAAAAGAGCTTTTATATAAAACAGAGTATAAGGATAGCGTAAATCATCTTCTAGTCTCTATATAGTAAAGAAGTTTATAATTATTTTTTATGTTTAATAAAATCCAACAAATTCCTTTTTATAATATTTATAAATAATAAAATCAAATTTTTATTTTTACTGGTTTGTATTTTCTATATTTTATTTAAATAAAATGATATTTAATTCAAACAAAATGTTGTTTTATACTTTTAATTGCTAGGTAAACACTAATAATTGATTTTGGTTGCAGAGTTCCTACCAGAGTGAAATGTATAGCCCCTGTGGGTCGAGTCCGGGTCGTGGAGGCGTATACATGCCCATGAGCCCGGCGACAACGGCTCATTCGCATTCCCGTGGATCATCCCTTGTGGAGGAAAGCAACGTGGATGGCTACGTACCGATGGCACCAGTTGGAGATGACGGTTACGTCGATATGGATCCTGTAAATAGTCACAACGGTCACTTTCCGGACGATATGTCGCAGAACGATGGTAGTAGCTGTTCTGTTACGTCTGGCACGCCTAGTACGGATCTGCGGTTTTCTGAATATCATTTGGACAAGGTAACCAGCTTTTTAACACCCGGGGAAGATCTGCAAGCCAGACCAACCAGAGCTTACTCCGTTGGATCGAGACCGGAACAAGCCAATAGGCATCGTAAAAACAGGTATGAGTTTAAAATATTATTTAGATTTTAAGTATTACATATGTTGTTATTTGATATAATATTATTCACAAAATTCTATAACAATTGCATGATTTGAGAGAATGTTTCAACTAAATGAGTTTTAATCAGGTTTAATTCCTGAGTAGTTACAGTGGCCATATTGGATTGTGACGTAGAAATGACACCTTGAAGTTTTTGTTATTAGTAAATAAAGAGAATTTGGGTAAAAAGAAATAATATGATTGCTTTAAAACAATTAAAATACTTGTAAAATTGAGCCGAGGCTGTTTTTATTCCCTTCTCTGCTCCGACAATCAGTAAATAGTCGTAAAAAGCACGTAAAGTGAAAATAGGCTACGCATGTGAATTAAGTGTGAACGCTGGCAAACACAATATACAAAATTACTCACTTATGATGTCGATTCAATATGGCTGTAGTGATTAGGAGGTTTAAATATTGTTTAAGTATGCTACCGACATGATATGAATTTTTTACTTTACATCAATCTTTATGCAGGTTGGACATTACTCCGCAAGACGCCAACAGAGTCCGAGCATTTTCCGTAGGTAGTCGGTCTAAGAGGCCTGAGATCGGAAGGCTAGCCAATGTAATTACTGCGCCATTACCAGCTGGTTCGGAAACCTCAAATTCGAAGTCAAGTTCCGCGCCATTGCTGTCGAGCTCTTGGGGACACAATTCGGGTTGCTCCGGAGCGTCCGATCGCATGGAGGATCTTATGGAGTTGGATTTCACAAGACCCAGTATTCCAACCGCTCTCTCTTCGCCTCCGACATCATGTTCCCAACCTCAGTCGCAACCGCAACTGTATTCTACTTATTCTACTGCCACCGACACTAGTTCCTACGTCGACATGTCGCCCGGACAAGCTCCCATATCGACTACTGCCCCATACGTCGATATGAGTGGCATAAATAAGGTATTATCGATATATCGATGTTTTCGCTGATAAAATTGCTGCATAAGCCGTTGTTAAGTAACAATAAAATTATTTTTTTACAGATCAATCGCAATAACAATAATAATACAATCACTGCCAACCACAATCATAGCCACATGCATATATCATCGCTAACTTTCGCTCATAAACCTGTAATTACAACTTTAAAGCCGGTAGAAGAAGCGGAGGGACCTTACATGAAAATGGACGGTACGATAGAGATAGATTGGACGCATTCGGAAGCGAGTCCGAAACAATTATCATCGCCTATTCAAGAGGATACCTATCAAACAAATGGGCCACCAGGTATTAGTTTGTAAACATTTATTGCCAAAAAAAATCCTTAATAGAATATTATTCTTTATATAATATAATGCAATAAAAATAATATTTTTGTGAAAATTATTATGAATGTTTAGGTAGCACAAGAACAGCACCTGTAGATCTTCCGCAACCAAGGCGTCCTCCGGAGGGCTACGTAGAGATGTCTTTTAAAGCGCGGCCGAGTTTAGAACAAGACTACATAAATATGAGTATGGGTGGGAACAATCGAAACAATCGTAAAACACGAACGGGCAATCGCAAGGAAAAATCGCGATCTCAACCAATCGCGATTCAGGCGGGCAGTAAGCCATCTAAAACTCCAAATTTTCTACCTTTGAACGGAAGTCCGACATCCGAGAGTCTAGCGAGCACGCCCGCCTCTCCGCCGCGAGCAACACCAACGGGTTCATCGGCCACGATTTTTCCCTTTTCTCTGAACAGTCCTCAGTCACCTGTGAAACCTTTCACGAAAAAAAACGATGAATTCTCCACGACAGAAGGAGAAGGTTTTTCTAACCAAAACAAAAACAATGAATATGCGGTGATGGAACCCGCAAATACGGTTTACACGTCGTGTTCTACCCCATTGACGGAGACGATATCCTCGTCGAAGGCGAATAGCGAGAAGCCACCTAGTCCTGTAGAGAAGAATGTTCGAGTTATATTAAAGTCTTCGTCATCGCAAGAACACGGTAAGCCCATTAACGTAATAACGAAAAAACTGTCGGATCTAACGGTGTCGAAACCGCGTCTCGTCACGGCCTCGCCGAACACCAGTCCTACTCTGACGGGTTTCAAGCCGTCGACCGCGCAACAGCCGAAGCCATCCTCGCCAAAATTCATCGACGAGTCTCCCACGCCTACGCCCGCATCTACACCCACGCCCACGCCAAGTCCGTTGGACAGCGAGGGCTACGAGAAACTTCAACCGGGCGCGACAATACTGCATTACGCTAGTCTCGATCTGCCGGAGGTCGATAATCCAGCGCCCGTATCGCCGGCGTCCACGCAGGAGAATTTCACCTACGCCGAGATCGACTTCGCGAAACTCAAGCAGACCTAAAATATGCGCTATCCTGAATGCGCATATTTTGCCGCCCCCGTGTCGCGTACAAGGCTGTGCGTGACGGGGTGGTTTGGCTGACGCCTCTTGTGTTCCCCACGATAGCAACGAGTAGGCAGGGTATAATCGATCGTTCTGACATTGGCTCTGCTGGTCTAACGAACAAGGCGCCGGGTAGGAACTGTATATATAATTCATTTCTTTTTCTCTCCAGCCTAATGGCATTATACCGCTCGCCGATCTTTTTCATGTAATAGATTGGCAGCCTATTTTAAATTGTTTGAGAAATAAGCATCGTTGGTACCTATAGTTCTGGTTGTACTGCATTAATATCGTATTTTATCGAAATGATGTGAAATTTTTTAATATAGGCGAAATACATTTTTCTCGCTGATTCCGAAGAGAGTCCTCAAATCTGTCCACATGTATGCTATTTCTAATATTAAACGATCGGTAATTTAACGGAAAAGAGCAAACTACGAAAACGTTATATTTTTATTTTTAGTTAAAATAATGTATTTGTATAATTGGGGTTAGTAGAAGGAATTTTTTTGATATTAGAATATATCATCTAATTAAATGAGAGTCGTTTGTAAAAATGTATAAATCTTTTAAATTTTAATTTTGTTAGTGGATTTGCGTGTTATCTCTATCAAAATTTGTTTTGTTTTGTATTATATTTCCAGATGCTGACAAGCCAAATATGTATAAGTCAATTCTTTTGAGATATATATAGATATATACACACCAAATTTAAACTTGTATATTTATGATAATCTCCTAATATATATATATGACGATGAAATTTATTTATCTCGATTGTTTTTGGAGCTGCGCTTTTGTACGTAACATAAATTCTCTTATTTTTCAGTACGCGTACAAATTTTAGCGACGTACATTTTATTTGCCCATTGTAAATTCTATTGAACTTGATTTTTCGAAAAAAAAAATCTGCACATTATTGTTCTGTACAGGGAATAGCATGTTACTCTATTTACATGTTCGCTTACTTACCTTAACGTTTTATAACAGCCAAATTGTCGAATTCGGATATGTTTGTGCATTGTTTTTAATTAAAAAGAAAGTAATCGGTATACATATGTGTGTATAAACTTGCGCGACATTGTGTGACATAAGACATCGGCTTCTATTTTAAACGTATGTTTATCCGAAAAATCTCTGGACATTCAATGAGACCTTAAATAACGGAATCTGCGAAATCTTAGACGTAAGGGAAAACGTGAAACCATGGATTTGCAATTTTTATAACTCTCGAAAGGATCATTCTAAGCCTATTCTTGCGCAGAAATACGTTCCGACGAGATCTCGTCGGTTTTTCACGAAATGGATGAAAATTCTCACAATTTCAACGAAACCCTGCTTTTAGACGTTGCGACGTCCGTTAATCCGTTGATATCAGCGTTAATTGGAATTGAATTAAATGAAATTGAGATATCGTAAGCTTTAGGAATATCGCATAGAATACGGTGGTGTGTAACAGTACACTACCAGAAACATAAGTACTGAAAGAGAAACGCGACGGACCTGATCTTCGTAACAATTAACTGCGAACCGGATGAAATTCCGCAGAGCGAAACCGATATTCAATAGATACCGGAAGTACACGTTGTTGCGCTCTCGCGTCTTCTCTGTGCCGAATTTTAATCCGATTGTCTCCTCGCGAAGGAATGTTACCCGCCAATGTTAGATCGACATCTCTCATAGAATTCGTATTGCAGACAAAATAGATGTTCCGTACACAAATGGCAGTATACATGTGTTATAACGCTTTTCATATAAATTATGACGGGCCGAAGGCGCCTTGAAAGAGCTAATTCGGCCTCGTATACACACGTACACGTAAACATACAGTCGCATGACGCGTATACATATATGCATATTCGTGCTGCAGGATATTCTGTGAAAACGGTACAACCGACGTCGTGCCGAGGGACGGTACAAAGAAAGATGATGTAGAGTAATATTTAGTAAGATAATTATTTAAGGAAAAAAAAGAGCAAAACGGATGAGGAAAAAAAGGGAGGATAAAAGATGCCTATGTGTAACGGATCGATTCTTCGGTTCAATAGAACGGCTTATCTCGTTTGAGCTAAATAAAAATATTCGTTCTTTGCATGTATCTTATTTAAACGTATTGCGGTTGTATCGTAACGTACAGGGTGTCTTGTATATGTACACGTAGTGTCCGACGAGTTTTCATGTGAGTTGCGAGCGCGTGTGCGTGCGTGCATGCGTGCGTGCGTGGGTGGATGCGTGCGCGGTCTTTTTGTTGTGCTATATGTACATGAAAGTATATACGTGACGGACATACGTGTACGTATACATATATGTACACACACACACACACACACACACACACACACACACACACACACACACACACACACACACAAAAATATATATATATGTGTCCAGTGCGAAGTTTTTTTCGTCGTCTTGATTATATAACAGTCACATTCATTGTAACACATACATAGGAATAACAAATTAAGTATCAAAATTCAAACAGAAGCAAGACTAACTGCTAGAATCAATAGAGATATATTCAAGAAAAAATTCGTAATTCTACTTGTATTTTAACATCCGCGCGGGAAATCTCGTTTAGAATTCAATTTTTTAGATTCTAAGTA